GAGATCATCGAATTGCCTTTTTCTGAAATTTTGTCACGAAAAATGAGATTTTAAGATATTTTACTGTTTTAGTATTTTGACTACAGCATCACCATTTCTTAATATAGTTCACAACTTTTTTTATACCAAAATGATTAGCGGAAAACTCTCTATAAAGTCTGGTAAAAGAGAGAATTTTTTGAATATTCTGTGTTTAACTACCCATGAAACTACCCTTCTGCAAAATAGAATTGATTGAATCGATCAAAAATTTCTTTATTATCGATCTGGAAGTCTTCACTTAATGATGATTCGTGGTATTTTTAATTAAAAAGTTCTAACAGATACATCTATTTGAAAAACAAATTAAACAAGTTTATTCTTACAAAAAAAAACGACAAAATGACTAAGAGAAAACAGCATAACAACAATAAATTGTTCTCTTAGCAAAGCCAAATACTCAGCTGGTTATGGTAAGAAAATTCAATTCGAGTCATAGTTGAGTCTTGTAGGCGATCGATCTTTGCTATAATTGCCTCTTTAGTTCTTGTTTTTACATGTTGTTTAAGTGTGATTCTACCATTTTTATTTATTTGTAATAGTATTAATTCACGAAAATAAGCCTTATTGATCAGCAATTCCAATACAAGATCAACCATTTGTTTTTCTCTTATCAGTTCTTGCCCACGAATAGCGAGGTAATGCATTTTAGGTATAAGTATATTTAATCGATTTACATTAAAATCTCTACGTTCCCATCCATAAACGGTGAGATGAACATGTGTAATCATTGGATACCTGCCAGAACAATGAGAAAGATCTCTCCATCTCACATTGAGATAGGAAAGATGAGGTGATATATCCAGAATTATTTGCAATGGTGAGTAGTGTGTTACACTCCGGTAGGGAACATGTTGTTGGAATTGAAAGGTCAACGAATGAAGATGAAGACATAAATTAGTACATGTTGGAATTACGACAATTTCTGGTTGATTCTAAAATTTGAAACGATACATAATCTATTTACTTTTTGTATTTTTTTTTCTATTTAAAACTTAAAATATAAAAGGAAAATATTAATGTAAACCCAATGGAGGAAATAGCTGACTTTAAGACTTCAAATTTTGCAAAGACTTCTAAAGACTTCACGACACTTCATGAAACTTTAAGCGACTTCGTAAGACTGAAGTCCCTACTGTTTTTCCCTTCTGTAAACCAAAGATCAATACAAATAAAAATTAACAATGAGAACATTTATGTATGTCTTTATGAAAGTGATGACCTACATTTATTCCGACACACAAACAGCGAAGCGTCTCGACGTTTCTCAGTTTTTTAAGAGTTGTAATTAATTGAATTTCATTGCCTGTCCACTTCCATAGCCATTCCATGTTTTGATAAACAAAGTTTTTTCGAATTATCGTTGAATGACGAGTAAAAAGTTCATAATTGTGTACAGTGCGCATATGTTTCAATAAATCAAAAGGANGTAATTTTTATTGAATTATTAGAAGAAAATAATCATTTAATATAATATATGCTAAGTATATTGAACTTAAATAATATTAATCATTCATTACATTAGTACTTTTATCAGTTGAATGCTTAGTAAAGAAAAGTCACCAGTTATTCATTGTTTCTATTCTAGATGAAGAATTCCAATATGAACAGCAGCTAGAAAAGGAATTATAGATCAACAATAATTAAATGATCCAGCAACTATTTGCTGAAATTGGTTTAGTTCTTTTTTTATAAATCATCGGTTGAAATCACGTTGTGTCGCAAAATCAAAAAGTATACTACATTGATCAAATAATAATAGTGAACAAAATGTCATCAGAAATTTTGTTGCACATACTGAATGGAAGAAATAAAATTTGTATTAAAATAATTCTCAAAACGCATCACATTGACAGTTATTTATAATAAGTGAACTAATATATTTCTTCATTTTTTTATATCAACGAAGATATCTGTACTTGAAAAAAAAAACACGTTATCAGCAATTTATCACATTTTAATCTTTTCTTTATAATCAAAAATTTGAATAAATATAGTATCGTGCGATATCAAAGACTAAGATAGACAAGTCATCCATTTAATTGATGTTTGTTAGATTCTCAAAACAAAAATTCTATGTGTTCTGTATTTTAATCAATACTCTCCGATCAAGACAACAATATCAGAGAAAAATTTCGAACAATAATTAAAACAACAATTTATATAGAGAGAACAAAATCTGATTGTTATCTTCCATATTACTCAATGGATGATTTGTTGATGATGATATTTGAATGATAACTAAGAAAAAAAAGACAAAATATAATATTAAGTGTGTCTGATAATGCAACGTGAAGATGGGGGATGAGGGTGGTGTCAATGATCACCATTCATTAAGAACTATATGCATACTTGTTTTTAAATATACAACTCATATAGTGATTTAGATCCGAGGGGGAGGATAGTTTTGGTCAGTAGTGTAGATTAATCTTGTATGGAAAAACATTGCTTTTATTCATTGTTTTTTTTCTCAAATAAATATTTGTTCGACAACATCGATTAATTGTCTCTTCTTTGTCTTTTGCAGATGCCCTAATGTTCAAGAGATTGAGGATTTTCTTCTCTACAAACAGGTCTCACTTTTGCTTATGAAGTACTGATCTTTTAAGATAAAACCCTTAAAATATTTCAGTCAACANTTTAAAAAAAGATTTTCCAGCTAAAATAGCTGGATCCAGCTATTTTAGCTGGAAAATCTTTTTTTAAAAAATTTTGCTGGGACTAGAGAGTACCCCTCCGAGAAAATATTATACCCATACTCAGTTTTTTGAGCTCTTTCGAATGATGTATTTTTTATCAACTCTGCACGAGAAAATTTTTTTTCGACCAGTTGATATGAACTGTTCAGAGATCATATTCATAAGAGAAACATTGATATAAACTGCTTTAAAATATCATCGTTGACTTCAATAAAGAACTACGACCTTTTGTGAGCTATGAAAAATTCATATTACAAATTTCTCTATGAATTCTTGGTGTCTGCGACTGAAAATTTCAGAATACAATGAGTAGTAAGACATGTATCTGTGGTACAAATATCCAGTAATGTCACACTTGAAAGTTAAATCCAATGATTAAACTTTTCAATTCAAATATTCAATTATGCAACTTTTAGTTCAGCGAGAAAGATAGTTTGTGAGTGTTTCTGTGGCAGTGGACGGCAAGCTACATATTTGAACACTTGAACTAAATACTTCAATAGTTAAAAAGTTGAATAGTGGGATAGTTGAAGTGGCATTGATATTACTTAGGATAGTCTTAAAGTAGTAGCAGTGACACTTTAAAGCCGCTTAGTAAGCTTTAGGAAATTTTCTTTTTTAAATGTAGGCATAGCAGAAACAATGCTTTCTTTCTATGATATCTGATCATTCTTCAAATAAAATGATAATAAGAAAATTTCGATACGAACTGGTAGTTGTGATATAAGACTGTAACATCCAATCATATATGTCTTCGATGTGCATCCTCTTCTTGGTGTTCTTTTTTGTTCTTCTGCTTGTTGTTCTTTCTTCTTTTTTTCACGTCTTCTCTGATGCCTAAGGTGTAGGAGTAGATATAGATTAAACTTGAACGATCAGAAAAAAAGAACTACCCCTGTTCAATGAAGACACGATCCATTTTATCAATCTTATCGTGTTTTAGTTCTATTCAAAAAGCTGAACATAATCGTTCGCGAAACCGACTCATTATATGTGATGATGTTAATACAAGAAAAAAATTACTACCAATAGTAGAAATAATGATGATTTTATGGACATAGATTTACAAGAAAATATTTTATCTTCTGCTTAACAGCAACAACAAAAATTTTCGACAGGCCCCTATTATTTGTTACAGATTAATAATAATGAAGATCAAATTGAAAGTGATGATGAAAGTTCCGAAGAAGATCGAAGCTTGTCTGCTGAATCTCGTGATGTAGCATAAAATTCTTTTTTACATAGTGGTAATGATATTGATCAATGCCGTCTTCACTAAGCCGTATGCCTTTTTTCAACTATTTTAATTGCTTTTTCTATGATGAAAACTTGTTAATCAAGCCGAAAAGGAAAACCTAGGATTTAAATATTTTTACAGTCGAAAAACCGTCTTTCACTTATGAACGAAACGCAGTTTCTCAAATAGAATAAAGTTTCATTTTCTGATTTACGGTGTTTAAATATACATATTTCTTAAGAAGTTCTATGTATTTACGAATAGAAAATGTGCAACTGTCATGATTCAAATTTAAGAGAACTTATCGGCGAAACTTATAACATGAAACAATATTTATTTAAACTATACAAAGATGATTATTATGTGAAGAAGCAATATATGTGGCGTTCAGCCTAAAACAATGCTGCTATTGAATGCGTAGTAAGAGACGGTCGGCCTTTCAGCGAATTTCGCCGCGGAGAGATGAAAAAGTTTGCTTCAGTAACGATTTCTGGATATATAGGATAACGCAGAAATACACTTGCACGGCGTTTACATGAACCATACGTGCGTCAACTATCGGAAAAATTTAAGACGTATATTAATCAAATTATATGAAATTACGTGGTATTTCTTTGACAGCAGATTTATGGTGAAACTCTCCTTGCACGCAATTCATAGTTGTAACGGCACATTTTTATGATAAAAATTATCGGTATACATAAATTTTAATTGGTTTCTAACAGTTCATTGGACCGCATGATGCTGTTCAAATCAAAAAGTACGCTAATTATAAAGCCAATCGATTACAAGTGCGACACAAGATCCGTTGGATAACCACTGACAACGGATCAAACATTAAAAAAGCTACTAGAAATGATGAGTTCAATGTCCGAATCACATGTTATTGTCAAAATAATAATTAAATCATTCCTCAAGTGTTACGTTTATGGAAAAACACAGAAACCTGTAGTAAGGAAGTAAACTCATCCTTGGTTCCTTAATTTCATGTATAATCTGCTCTATTTTAGTTTTTTCCTTCACGAATGTGGTTGGATACAACAGCAAGTGATGTCGGCACAACAATATCAACTAATGAAGAAGAACAAACATTGATACATGCAGAAAAGATTCAACTTACTGATGGTATATTTGACTCAGATAACCTGTGTGTAAAAAGTCTTTGCACAAATTTTTTATACAAGTTTCTCATATAGGACTGGTTGTTTTTCTAGTTTTCTTGTATCAACTAATAGCGCATTCGAAAAGCCTTAATTTGATATAAAAAGTGTTATATAATTGTTTTGTTTTATAGATATGATTTGTTTTGAAAGAGATTGCGTAAAAACTCGAATTGTACAACATTATATCAATGTGGTGAACAGACAAAAGAAAATTACCGTGAATCATTTTTTACAACAGAAAGTACCACGTCGAACGATATATTATATTATCAAGAAGCATGACGATTCTGGTGCTATTATTGACGAACACAGGTCTGGTCGTCCGAAAAAATTATCAACAGGTCAATTAACAGGGCTAAAACGTCTCGTGAATAATAAGATCGGTATTTCTTTACGTCGATTATCTTCAAAATTTACAGTTAGTTTCAAAACAATTTCAAATCATTTGAAAGCTATGGGTATAAGGTATCATAAGAAAAAAAGAACGCCAAGACATACTGATAAACAACTTGAAGAAGTTCCAACTCGGGCGTGCCGTTCATATCGCTGATTATTAAAAGGGGATTTTGAGTTGTTTATGAACGATGAAAAATATTTTATGTTGCACAATGAATCTGTACCAAGTAATCGTGGTTTTTATACATCGGATACAATCCATGTCGCCACTTTTTTGATCATAACTGCGGCGCATTAATCGCAGTAAAAAATCAATGTATTCGACTGCGACGCAGTTACGCGTAACTGCGAAAAAAATATCGTCGTTGCGCGCAGTTACGACAACAAATTGGCAGTTACGCGTAGCTGCGTCACAATTTTTCGCAATTACGGGTCACAGTGCGATCGCAGTTTGATCGTAATGAAACATATGGGAAGTACTATATCACCACAAATAAAATTTATAAGAACTCAAAAAATTTGAGTCAAAAATATTAGTTTGGGTTGCTGTATCTCAAAATGGCGTTTCAAAGTCATTTTTGCCAAGCAAAGACAAGCTATTAACCAAGAAACATATTTTAGGGGATTATATTGTTGCAGATTTGGCGAAATTTATTCAGAGCTATCATATCCCAGAAAAAGTATTGTTTTGGCCTGATCTAGCTACAAGTTATCACAACCACAAAGTGATGGAATATCTGGATGAAAATGAAGTACAAATGGTACATAAAGAATCGAATCCTCAAAACTGTCCACAATCACGTCCGATCGAAACTTTGTGGCCAATATTGAATGATATGGTGTATGAAGAAGGCTGGGAGGCAAAAACAATTGATCAACTGAATAGACGAATTATTAAAAAATTAAAAGAAATTAATATGAAAATTATACAATCCATGTTTTCAGGTATACGGAAGCAACTTTGTAAAATTGCAGATAAAGGACCTTAAAGAGCTTGCTCTTCTTGACATTAGAAACATTATTGTTCGTACTACTTATTGATATTAAAAATAAACAATAAAACTGATTTGTTGAAATAAAAAGCTAAAAAGAATTTTGTGCACAGACTTTCTACACACAGGTTATAACAGATACAAATGATTCATTAGATAATGATGAAGCATCAAAACTAGAATCGGCCAACGATGATTCAAGTGATGAAGAAAAAGAACAATTAGAATTTCATGAGAAATTAAATGATTTTGTTGATGAACAAATATTTGAAAATCCAATTACGAGTGATGCAGCTGTTGGCAACATAGTATTTGGTGTTCCTAGATCGTAGTCATTGTTTAAACATATTAGTTCCAAAATTTCATTTAATTAATGAGTATATGTTCTCAAACAAGCAAAAGTGGATAAGAGTATTGTAAGTGGTGGACTTGTACTTGATTTTCATTTTAGATCAAACACAACATGTATTATAGTAACAAAGTTTGTTGAATATTGCCATATTATTACTGAAATTACAAATACTCCCTGAAAAATTATCAATTTAAAAAAAAAACAAATACGATCATCTTACGTCGTTAACATAACGTTCTTAACATTGAGAGTAGCTTATTAGTATGAAAAAAGTACTTGACCCATCTTACAATGGTACATATGCATTGTCTAATCGTAACTATGAAACAATTGCACGAAGTAAGGTAACTCTTTTTGCATTAAAAACTTTTACCAACTCATCAAGAAAACTATCATTTGGAAAATATTTTACAACACTAATTCTTGAAAAAAATTAAATTATATATCGAAGACAAAATGACAGAAGAACAAAAGCATTTAACACCAGTAAATTTAATCTGATGTTGTTTATTTGATTTTACTATTTTTCTCATTATTTCAGATTTCTTCTTTTTTATATCCATATGTATACTGGTATCTTGCGTATCAGAATTGAAAAATACGGAAACAATATTTATTCGAGAATATTGTGAAATTGTTCGATGGAAAAAATGTACGTCACGGATAACACCATAGTTAGTGTTATACTTTCGTCAAATAATGTTGAACAATCTATGGTATCATCGAAAGGTCGTAAGAAAAAAACCAACGAATTGTTTATCAGGAATTTGTTTTGTAGAAGAGTCATCAGTACATAGAAACATCATAAATCAATGGTATAGACAATAGAATAAGAATTAGATTATTATGCGACGATTGGAGCTACAAACCAAAAGTTTGAGTCGTGTTGAAACTTGAATCAACGCAAAATGTCTATATTAATTTCTTTTGTTCGACAATTTTGCTTTTCAACAGGCACAAACATAACTCCTGACGTATCATTTAGTTGGAGTAATTATATACAGAGGAAAGAAAGATCTTCTCTATGATCTACTAATCTTTCGTATACCATTATATCACGAGATAGTAATGTAATTAAATGGTTAAGTTAAGTGTATTGAATTGTATCTTTCTTCATTTATCAAACATTATAAGATTGTTTTCGGTTGTGTAAGTTCGTCAGATTTTCTATGAACATCGACAAGGTTACATTTTTATTGTTCTTTTTATTAAAGAAAAGTTATGAAAATAAACATTGAATGTGTGTTTAAAAAGAAAATAAACGTAATTTATTTTAATTAGCGAATAGAAAGAAGAATGAATTTTAGTTTTTGCATAATGACCATCTTCTGCAAGAAAAAATATGTTATACTATGGAGAGTAATTAAACTAAAACATCAATCCCTTTTTATGTAATGATTTTGCTTGTAAGACAAGCTGTCATTTTATTGGAATTTATAACATATGATACTAGTATGCACTAATGTTATTAATAAAAATCGTATAAACCAACAAACAAAGAGACGAGTATTTTTTTAGTTTACATGAACGATATCTCATTACATAACTAAGTTAATGTTCTGCTTTTCAGTGCAGTATTATTTCAGTTCACTTAGGTCTCCACAATTCAGGAAGTATACTACTTCTATCGATGATACATAAAAATTGAGATCACGCTATGTTGGAAAAATCAAATCTAACGTTGTCATAATACCTTAGTGTGGAAGTAGAAATCTCATCGATGATTAAAAGTATTTCTGCTATCTTAGTTGAGTATTTTTTTATTACTTCTTTATTACTTTGTTATTTTGCCATTGTTATTAGTTATAGCTGATAATAAGTAATAAGATTATTATATTTATTAATTTTCGAAATGGTCACAAGGTAGAGGGTATATCTGAGAGCTTTCAAATACCTCTATACTGCTTAACATGCCGAACGGTGCCTTCAAGTTTGCCAGTATATAGGGTACCTACGTTAATATATATTCATAAGCTTTCATGACTAAAAATACTGTTATTGAAAAATGAGGAAATACGCAATGAATGTGCACTGCATTGGTTATCTTCATGTTTTACCTCAGGATGCAATTATTGTGATATCAATATCTTAATAGGGAAACAGTTTTAGAAGAGACAATTTTTGGAGGGCAAAATTTCATTGAAATGCGTGGCATCAATTGAGCTCATGACCCTTATTTACGTCATCTCTTTCGTGTGATGGTTCCTAAGGACTTAAGACTTCGAGATCTCTCGAGAATTCATCATTATTCCACTAAATTTCGAAACATTCCCTGGAACTTCTTAGGAATCCTTGATTTCGCTGGGTTCCTCTATTCACCTCTTGGACACATGTTTAGTCTGCACATGTGCTGTTTTCGTTGGACAATTCGTCACTAAGTAGAGTGAATGCAGCATAATAACTGGTTTGAGTTACCGGCAACCTATATATTTCTCTCTGATTGAATCGCAAGATATGTTCTCAATGCTATCATGCATCATTACAATGCGAGCAGAGAAAAAGAACACGAACACGTGTTGATTAGATTTTTAATCATGCGAGTTTTTAGGAAAGTCATGTGCATGTAGTATCTCATAGTGTATCCTTGTTTTTTCTCTTGCGCTCTTGATGTTTCCACCAGAGGATGATTTACTAAATTTATGAAAAGCATAAAAATTACAACATTTTCAGCTAAATTCCTGCTAGATTAAAAATTACTTCTCTTTTGCGACGTAAAATTTCTTTTTTTTTTACTTTTTAGCTTCTTATGATCATTGTACAGTCTGAAGTACTCGCATCTACTGAGAAAACTTTGAGATCGAAAAATTGTCTTTAAACCTAAAAAAATTCGACAAGAAATCAAATTTATGTAACGGAAATAACAAAAACCGTATATTGTTTCGCGTTTTTCTGAAACCAACGTTTTTCATAAAAAAAAGTGCAGAAACGCTTCCTTTTCTCAGGGTCCAGTACATCAGATCGAGTTGAAACTGCTTTCATATTATACTATATACTGTGTGAAGCGGGTACTTTCTTGTTGTTTACAACGATATTGCTTTGCTGATTTTTGATAACTCTTACAAATAAGCTCTATTCAAAAAAGACATGCGCTTTTGAGGGTACTTTTCGATATTTTGGCTTTTTCATTCGAAGAACAAAAGTAAAAAGAAACCAAAAAGAGATATTCATGTCAAGCACTGTCTAGTGCCTCTAAAAAAATGTTTAGCTTGATCGAACATAGAATTTTAGAAAACAAGGGCGACAATTGGACCCAGTTTTCATCATTGTGATTCCAGTATATCATAGAAAAAGCATCCAAGAATTTTCAGTCTATGATAGAGTACGAATTTAGTTGTTGGTGTGGCTGTGGCTGAGGTTTTGAATGTGATTGTGAGTGTGAATATGAACTGTGATTGCTGGATATGACTTTGGGAATATTGATGGCAGTAGTGTTGATGTTGACTTTGTCTTCTTGTACAAAAGCATACTTACATTCAGACCGACGTTCACAAGTAAACCGATTTCGACTGCAGCATCCATAGCCTCTACTAAACACACACTTACATCCACAACCTAGTCATGAAAAGTCTCCATTATTTGAAAGACCAGTAAATGAAAAAAATTTAACATCAATCAACTCAAACTGATGGTTTTACTTTGGCGTATTTCTAGTCTATATTTTTGATGGAGGATGAGTCCTTGAGCACAGCGAAAATGCAATTAATACTGATTTTCATTAGCGACAACACGTATGTTTATTTCTGATTTTATCACAAAAAATATACTCAACGCATGCATACATAATTAGAATGTGAACATAAAAAATGTAAAGACACTCGCGCATATTACAATATCACTTAATGTGTCTTCAAGGTAGGGATACGCATGTCGTAAGTAGTTATGCCGTCTTTCCTTTCGCGCTCTTAATGTTTCACCTCGAAATATCTGGTAAATAGACGATAAGTACAAAAATAAAAGCTGTTCTGCTTACATTCTAATTGATTAAAAAATTAAAAAGGATAGAATTATTTGTACTGTCACTGAGACTTCATAATCACACCTATCGTAAACTGGAAAAAAAGATATGGTCTACAGCCTAAAAAAGATTCTGACAGTTGAAAACAATTCAAAACCTTCGTAAAATTTCGTATCAATGAGATTTGGTAGGAGAACTTGTATAGGACGTTTACTAGAATACTAGCCAGTGTATATTAACCTTGTTAATACTTATATTAAAGTCCCTATATCTATTTATAAATCCTTATGTTCATGTTTAATCTCCTTTATCTATACATATGATCCTTCATCTAAGCTCATTCCATTTATTCGTCCGACCTTGTCTATAGATATTGAAAAAAACAAATAACAAATGTCCCATTGTTTCGAACTATCAGAAGAATTAAAAACGTAAAGTAATAGGAAAATAATTACATCCACATCATTAATCTATCCATTGAAAAGTCATTCTATTATATCAATCAAGGTCAGTAATGCACAATATCAATACTTTGATACATTAAACATCGCAAATGTTATTAAAAAAAAGTTTATAACAATTGTGATCTATGAAACATGAACACAAAAAGTTGTTGAGCAAACAGATACGACGTCTACTTCAAGAGCATGTCGAAGATACCAAAGATTGAGCGAAGGAATTTTGATTGTAACATTAGTAGAGTGTTCAGCATTGCTTCGAATAAACGCTACGTATAGAAAAGTATGAAGTCCAAAAAATAATAGGAATAAAATGACGAAACGTGATGACAAATTGAATAATAAATAGGTAAACGAAGAAATGTGTTCTAGTCGGTAAACTTTCTGATTAATGAACATTTTTTTTCTGTTATGAAGGAAACATGAAATGACAACAGTTTAGTATGAAATATTCGGTCTACGATGTATTTTAAGATGTGTAGTAAGACACTTTTTTGGCAGCAGAAATTTAGAAAATTTTTATATCATGCCGATTAAATGACGTAGCTTTGTTCAGATTTTGTACATTCGTATAGTACGTTAAAAACGTAGTAAGATTTCTTGAAACCAGATGATTTCATTAAGAATACCAATGTTTTCAGTGTAGTTTCACATGAAATAAAAGAGGAGAATACTAAAATATCTGTTATGATATAGCGAGTGAGTTCGAATCCAGTTTCTTACCTTTATACATCAGCATATAATAAAAAACATTTTCTTAAAACTATCGTAGAAATGAAGACCTCGACAGATTGGCCAAATAGTCTTTCATGGAATCTTGGTAACTTTGCTCGTATTAGAGACCATGATTATTAAGTTACTGGTTAAATTTAGGTTGCGTATTGAGAACTCTGCGAGAATTCTTAGCGTTAACGCCGAGGTTCATTAGAAAAATTTCATCAAAGATGATACAGCTGAACATTTGCGTTCAAAAAGAGAGAATTCTACTTGTTCATTTATCTCTAATAGTCTATATATACTGTTTCATTGAAAAATTTCATTGTTATTTCTAGTCTACCCTTGACAGTAGTTAAGATTTGTTTGATTTCTGTACCAAACATGTAAGAGTAAGTGTTTATATTATGAGTAGTTCTTATTATTCAGATGAACAATATCGTGTAAAAATAAGCAACATTGATCGGATGTCGATTTATTCGTCTCTAAATAACAAAATGCTGAAATGAATTAAAAAGCGTGTGGATGTCTGTGTGAGTTTTGGGCTTGGCTCATATAAATGTGTATGTAGGCGCAAAAAAGGAGTAACACCTACAGTTGTACCCACACTCAAAATTAACAAACATTGATTACCCACTGAAAAAATGAGACAAGAAGCATAGCTACAGTTGGAGGAAAAAGAAGAATGCATAGAAAAAGAAACGAAGAAAATATCAAAGATGCATAAAGAAGTGACAGAAATTGTTTTGCATTATTGAAGAACTACAGAGACACTTCACATTCGCAAGGATGTAAAGTATGGGGTGTGGTTGTATGGAGAAGTGTGTTGGCGGTGGACTTGGTTCTTCTCTTCATCTAAGTCCCTGACAGCATCCATAATCACTCACATCCACACTATTTGAAGTGGATGGAACTTATACTACCCCACATCGAACAAAGATACACATAAGTAACGATCCATATTGTTTTTATCATATATCGCTACTTATAATTGGCAAATCGTTGACTTCAATTACTTGTTTATTCATCATATGAGCATTTGAGTTTTAGCAATAACTCGTATGGGCAACATGCATGACGTTGAATCCTAAATCAGAATATCCTAACTTTTGTTCTCACGAATTTTCTATGGATAATGCAAAGAAAGTGGAATTAGTTAATACTAATATCTTATCAATTGGCAGTTCACTGTGAGTTTTTCAAACTGGGAACAAAAATTTTCCCTCTGAAAAAATTATTCTTGTTTCCTAGAATCTCTTCCACTTCTATCTTAATTGTTGCCTAACCCAAACATAATTCATCCTGCTACAAAACAGATATCATATGAGTTTTCTATTGTCCTATCGATTTCTTCGTTGATTGCCTCTGATCAGTAAGATTGTTAAAAAACTCATGCATATATTCGTAGATATCTGTACTTATAGCTCAACAACGTAATCAATGCCACTGTCAACAAGAGATTACCAACGTGATAGACGCAATTCTCGTCTTGCTGCTGAAGCGCTAATAGCCTTTACCGAAGGCTTTGAACTTTTCGATACTGACAATACTAGCTTAAATCGTACGCCACTTAATAATGTACGCAGTTCTCGCCATCCGTCTAATGCGACGGTAGCAAACAATTTAATTAGCAATGTTGAAGATCAAACAACACATAAAAGCGTTTCAACACCGAAAAAGTCTCTGTTTGGACACTATCACTGGAAAATGAGTCATTATTTCTACATTCATCTAATCACTTATATTTTCAATGGGTTCTTCGGTGGTCTCATCATTTTTTTGATTGAAAATTATTCATCTTATCGAAATAAATATATGGTCGTAACTTATCTTGATGCTTGGTTTACGACTGTCTCAACCATATGTAGTTGTGGTTTGACTACTATAGATTTTGCTCAGCTCTCTCATGCATCACAACTTGTCATGATGAGTTTTGCATTTATATCAGGTTTTGCAATGAGTACACTGCCAGCACTCATAATTAAAGCTCAAACTCACAAAACTACTCAAGGTACCAATGTTGATGACGATAATGAAAAGTATGACAAAGAAAATGATGATGAATTGGAAATGTCAAATCATCGATCGGATCAAAATTTACCACCACATATTCGTATTGAATTATTACGATTGCCAACACCATTAGAACTTCGATATCGTGCATATATCATGTGTATCGTGCTCATACTGAGTCTTTATTTGACTATATATATCATTGGTTTCATCGCTATTGGTGCATGGCTTCAGACACAGGATAGTTCAAAATATCTAATGCAGAACAACGTCACTCTCAATCCATGGTATGTATCAGGTATGCTGACCCTTTTCAGTGTCAATCAAAATGGCTTAACACCCTTCTCAACAAGCCTTACACGCTTTGTTGATGATGTTTTTCTCAATATCGTCCTAGTTCTAGTAATGCCTTGTTTGTATGCGCTATCATATTTTTACTATCGTCTATTGTTTTTAGTTGGTGATGAGTGGCTCATCTTTCTTCCCGATTCTTCTGCGTAATGTTGTTTTTCTATCACGTCGACTTGCTCCTTGGCGTCATAAAGTAATTTTCGATTATATTCTTCTGAACAATCACCATCTATCTACTCTTCTATATCCTACACTACAAACTCGGATCTACTTTTTTGTTACCATCATACTCTATTCAATGGGTATAGGTATTTCACTCATACTCGATTTAGGCAGCAAAGACTTACAACAATATAGTCCTGGTATACGTTTAATTATTTTTATTTTTCAAACAGTAAATTTACGATTTTGTGGTTTTCAATCGTTCGATATCAGTTTGTTTGCGACAGCAACAGTTCTCGTCTATTTATTATTGATGGCTACTAAACCACAAATGTTGTGTGCACTTGATGAATCACCATTTGAAATATATTGGTTGACTCTAGAAGCTCAAGCAGAAGTCGATGCTGAAACAAACAATAACCAAAGAAACATGTCCAAGTCACTTCCATTGATGTTACAACGTGCAATGTCGGTTGCACCAACCACAACTACAGACGCTTCGCTCTTCAAAAAAATGAAAAGTTTTTTACGTCGACAAAGTCTCCTTACTAAAGAACTTGCAAGAAAAGAATTTTCGAAAAATGTTGATGATGAGAAAAGCATTCCAAAACGCTCCAAACGTATTAAAGTTCTACGTTTACGTTTATTTCTCATTCATTTTATTAGAGCACTAGCCAAACATACATTTGACTTTTTCATATTGACAAGAACTTGGTTATTTGTCTTTATTTTCCTTATTTGTGCTATTGAATACCGTCGAATGGCACCAGTGGATCCACATATAACACTTTCAAAAATTATCTTTGAGATTATCTCTGCCTTTGGTGGAGTTGGTATGTCTCTAGGCTATCCCAATAAAACAACAAGCTTTGCCTCTGTTCTTTCTACTGGAAGTAAAGTCATACTTATTGCAACTATGCTCATGGGTCGACATCGTGGTTTACTAGCATCAATGAAAGATCAAGAAGTGATTGAATATAGTGCTATAAATATATTGGTTCGTCGACGTGAAGAATATATACTTCAATCTCAAACTTCTAGAATACGCGAAATAACAGTCAAAGGAAAAAATAATGATCCAACGGTCGTACATTTCTAAAAGGAATAATAAGATCGCAAGAAAACATTTGCAGATAGAAATCGAAGAATATTGAAGTCAATTGACTAATACAATTTCTGTCCGTAAGATTTCTATACAATAAAAGAAACAATGTAAGACAGTTGATTTCTAAATGTGTTTTATTCGAAATTTTCTAGCGTAATAAGCTATCTCTAGAAATTTCGTACACCTCGTTTCACCAGAATGCTACTTTCATTTCGAGCGAAAGCGTTCATAGACATACAAAAATTAAGACCGATTATCGACTTCACCATGTTCTTTGAAGTAGATTTCTTCTACGAAAGGAATGATGAGCTTCACATCATGTTTGCTGTATCGCACAAAATCGGAGTTGTGTTTTCAAGATATAAGATAGATATTTTTGTTTACAAAAACGAGAAAACTATTACTCTTACGGCATTGAGTGGTCAAAATGGAAACACAAATTCAAATATGCAACACCATGCCACACTATGCAACATTATCATCTGACAATGACTAAGCACGTGATGCGCAATTTACCTTTGATTAAATTTGTTAAAGATCACTTATCAATTCAACTCCGTCTCCTACTACAGATTATTGCCACATTTTTACTAGAATATTCGAGGTTTGCAAGCTCGATTACATATAATCAAGATCTCATTTTGTTAATCGTCGCACACTTCACTGCTGGATGCTTCTGTTTTCTAATTGCTTTCGCTAGAGAAACGTTTCCTTTTTGATTGACGCGTATTTTCAGAAAAGAGAATACTTTTACGCTACCATTTAGTACGAGTTTGTCAACGATTATATAGAAGTGTGAAAGAAAAACGAAAGCCATAAAAATTCTTGTAATCAATCAAAAAAAGACAATTTATTTTGTCAATGAGTTCGTTTATGATTTTATTTAGATCAAAAAATAAATATGGACTTGACATCAATGCGTCAGATCAAAAAAAAATTCAAAAACATCGTGCTGTTTGCCGTTAAAATAGACAGAAAGTAGTTTTTTTTTCATATAATGATAAACAAAAAACCGACTTTTAATGTCGATGATCTTGTAGAAAAGTGTAATGTAAACCTAAAATATGAGTAGCAGTACTACAGTAAGTAATGAAAAAATCAGTTTAGACAAGTACGAAACAGTTATCTTCATCAAACTAAGAACATATAACTTGCACATTCTTAAAGTTGTCTGAAACTTATAATAAATAGCTGTTCATAGATAAGACGGGTTGATAATGCTAATGTGATTATATAATGATATATGATATATATATATCTGTTGAATTTGGAAAGTTTATTTTTTATTGCACAGAAATCAGTTATATTGATTCATGATCGTATATTCTATACAACCTCTACTCATTTCTGAACCAGCTATGCTTGAATATATGTTGTTGTTTTTTTTCTCTTTTATTGTTGTCAATATGTATTTCCTCTAGGGTAGTGTGATATATAGTGTTGGTTTTCGCTCTTTCCTATTTTTTTTTTCTTTTTCTTTCCTTTATATGGTTGACGTTTTTATATCTGTTATTCATGTCTATGTCCTAGTCTCCTTTTTTATGGTTATATTTCCCTAACTGTGAACCGGGTATAACATGGCACAGTAAAATAAATATAAAAAAAAAAAAATGATCGTATATTCTATCTGATTTTAAGCTATTCATATTGCCTGTAATTAAGAGGATTTTGAAGCAATTATTTTCATTATACTTGTTGACGTGCTGTTCAAATCGAACATCATTCATGAAGCAGATATTATTGAAAAAAGCATATATGTAAATATATAATTTTCAGTTACTTCTATCTAAGCTTCGTTTATTATCAAGAAAAAACTATCGAATCGACGAGCTTACACGGATATTCTTTGTGTATCAAGAGGCTTATAATCTTTTTGAATCATTACATGTAGGGAAGAAAATAGTTCTTCAAAAACATTTATAATGTTATGTATACTAGATGATGTGAAATTTGACCAATGAAGAATGCATGGGGTGTAAATTAAGAAAAAACTAAGAGAAAAGTGAACAATTTGACAACAAATTCGAATTAGAAAACTAAATAGTACAACGTTAGAGAATGCTTACAACAACAAAATGCTAGCAAATAGTAGAAAAAATAATTAATCGACTGAAACAAGTGATAGATTAAGGTGGAAAATAATTAGATAAACATTAATGAATGACTTTTTTTTTTATTGATTTAAAACAAATGCGTTTTGTGAATCATCTTTCGAGCGGAACCAAAATTCTATCGTAGAGTAGGTCTAGACATCTAGTACATGTACTCTAAATATCAACCTCGACCAATACACAAACATGTGAGAAAACAATATTATATGACAGTGCCAAAATTTGTTTTACATCCTTTATTACTTTTTAAAAACAGTATAGATTAAATTATCATTACAGAATCACGTGTTTCTGTTGTTGACTCATAACGAAAAAATTTATATTCTTCGAACTTTTTCATAGCTTAGACTGCGAATATTGACGAATTGTCGATAAAGTGGGTAAAGAAGAATGTGGGTCTAGCTTTAGGTGTCACTCTGCTCTTCGTTCACATTCGAAAGCAAATGATTCAGAAATGAGATATCAAGTGAAGTTTATAACTTTGATATTCACATGTGATCTACTGTAAAAAGCCTGAAAAAAGAACACGAGATAATTGAAATTAGGAGATTTTCAATTTTATTTCGAAATAGGAAAGATTTATACTTTCTTGATTTTATACAAAAAAGAATCATTGATTCATATCTTATATATTACTAAAACTATACTCAAAGACTTTCTAATATACAGTCGATAATAATATCTTGTTGTTCAACTTGCCATATTCTATTATCGATTAATTTCTTCCTGTCCATCAAGGATCAATATATTAACTATTTGATCAATACAATAACAATAAACATTTCTACTTAAAAACAAATCTTTTAAACATAATTAATCTAAACATTTCTTATGTCGATCCATCTATCTTGTATAATATTTTCCCTATACAAACCTTATTCATTGTAAAATCTGTATTTGAAAAAAAACAAGGTCCATTGTGCTGTTGTTGTATGAGTCTCTAAAAAATCAGGAATGAGCTACTCAAAACTTTTATGCGCCATGTTCAATTGCCAACAAATAGAGGTGTAAGCCGAAGGGTCAAACGACGACGGCTGTTTTAATGGTCCAATTTTTTTCCATGGCAGCGGTGGCTTTAATTGTAAACATTTTTTTCCATAGCGGTGGCGGCTACTATACTTTATGTTTTTCTGCACCAACGGCGGCTTTGACAACCAAAAAAAACAAAAAACAAAACGTTTCCCCCCCCCCCCCCCTAAAAATGTCAGTGGCGGCGGCGCATCATACTATTATCAAAAATTTTCGTTCGTGGCGGCGGCGGCTAAAAAATTCTTAAAACTATCTCCGATTCCGTGGCGCCGGCGTAGCTGGATGGCTTACACCTCCACCAACAAATAAAGATCACTCAAACAAATCGACTGACGAGTAATTAATATAAAATATTTTAGTTAATCTTTAGTTTTCCTCAAAAGATATGACTCATGACAGATGATATACAATTCTGATGAGTGCTTTCAATGCCTAATGAAAAAAAAAAGAAGCTCTTTATTACTTTCAGTGTAACGTTACTAATAAGTCTTCAATAAATCAAGAATCGAACTAAGATATTTTGAATGATTTTTATTTATTTTAATTTTAATATTCGATTGGTAAGGTGAAATTGCAAGTGTTAGAGTTCAAAAGCTGCATCTGTGACATTCCAACTCGAAAAAAATCTTTCAAAAATGAAGTTTTTTTTAATTTCAATATAACCCCGAAAACTTTATTAGTTAAATAATTCATATTTATCTATATCGTTGAACTTTAATATATTCATGATTAAATGTAGATATCAATAAACAATGAAGAAAAACAAACGAAATCTGCATACACATACAGAAAATGAATAATGTCTTTATTCCCATGTATTAAAAATGTTTGTGTTTTTGTTCTCTTTTTTTTATTTTCCAGCAGCTTGTTTACGTAATAATTGAAATATTTCTTGTTTAATCCATTCTTTATTATGTGGTTTATATTGTCCTGTTTGTTTTTGAAAAACTAAACAACTTAAATCCGATATTTCATCAATAAATTCAAATAATTCAGATATATCATATGTTATAGATGGTGATGTTGGATTACGTTTTTTTAAATGTTCTTCAAATACTTTACATATTCCTAAATAAAAAAAAAATTTAAATATAAATTCCAAGAAATAAATTATTCAATATATTACCATCAAGACATTCATCGACAGATTCATAATCAGAATAAGTACGTGAATCAAGTTTACTTGTTGATTGAAGAAGAAGAATTGTATGTGTCATTATATCTGCAAAAAAGAAAAATAAATTTGTTTTTGTTTTTAAGCAGTATATTTTAAACATCGTGTATCTTTATGTATATCAAGACATTTTAATGAACAATAAAGACTTCCACATATTTGACATGTATATTGAGATAAAAAACCACATACAGAACAAATTTTTAAAGATGGATATTTTGATGGTTTAGCTACAATAGTAAAATAATTTTTTTCTTCAGTCGATTTTTCACCATTAGAACCTAATTCTTCATCTAATAATGTTTGTAAATTTTTACGAAAACGTGTTTTAAATACATCATATTTAAATTGTATTTTACGACGTTTATTCGATGAATTCGGTGTTGTGGTAATTGGTTCATCAGATTCAAGAATTAATCCTTTTGAATGACGACTATAACCAAATGCAGATGTATTACTAAGACTTTTGGCTATTTGTTCTTGAGTTAATGTTGAATCGAATGATGATGATGGTTCTGTTGGATCATCATGAAAATTATCTTGTTCAAGTGATTCAAGAAATTTTTGTGTACGACGTGCACGAGTTGATGCATCAAGAACACGAGAAGATGATGATGTTGATGATAAATTTTCTTTTGTCTGACGAGTTAACCTTTGTTGTGGCTGTTCCATTATTGAATTCAATAGAAGAAAAAAAACATTTTGCCTTTTTTCTTTCTTTTTCACTATGTCGAATGATAACCAATTGTAGATGAAGACATGTTTTTCGAGGGCGCCACACATCAATATCGATAAGCGACTCCCTCATGTTGATGAATCGTCCGAGATTGGATGAGAGTTGTCTTAGCAGAATTACGCATCTGGAAAATGAACATATCTGTTATTATAATCTCTTCAATATTGGATACACTAATGAATTGCACTTAGCTTAGAAATGGAACTGTGAAAGTAGGTGCGTTACTAAGACGCTTCATTGCCAATAAACTCGTCGTTTTGAACTTTATTGTTTTTCATCATCTCGGTAACATAATTTTTTTCTGTGCTTTTTACATGAAAGATAAAGAATTTTGTTGATAAACTCTTTTCTTTTCTTTAACTTTCAAAATTTCCTATAGTGCATGCCGCTCAATAATGATTTAAACTCGACTATACTCGTTGATTTTTGTCACAATGACGTTTTATTTCGTATTTGGCTTACAATTTGACAAATAGAAATTGTCTTTACATTTTCATTCATTTTGTGCTGTTTTTTACCTGAACACCTTATTTCTCCAGAAGAACTAATTTTTTAATTTCAATTTGAAACTCTGCATAGAGACAAGCTTTAACGAGAATAGGTTTTTTTTGTGAATGTTTCAGATATTGTTACTATTCCTACCCTAAGATATAGCTATAGTAGTAGTAGCGTGTCTTTTGTACCGCTCATGCAAACATAAGTTTTCCTGAAGTAACAGCATTCATTTTAGAAGTACAGTAAAAGTGCAGTATTTCCGCAGCCATAAGCTAAAGCCAGAAACTCTTTTCAGAGTTCTTAGAACTTATCTCGATCTATATAATGCACACAGTCTCGACTTCAAACCAATTTATCAAGTGGAGAACTTCCGTCGTGAGATGTTATATTAATATTCTCAGAAACATTTATACTTGAGTGATGAAATTTAGAAAGTTTCTTATGAAAATTTTTTATAAAAGAAATAGAAATTAAGATATAAAAACGAGATAAGCTATTCGAAAATTTATCAAATTTCATATAAAATTACAAAAGATTCTGTCATAAAGCTTTTTTTTCTCTTATAATATGTAAGAGGAATTCATTTTAATATTGATCATCTCTATGGAAACAAGTGAAAAAGGCTTCGGTAAAAAATCAACATAATTTCATAGAATAGAAACATAATTTTCTTTACTCAACATCAGAATGTCAGAAAATAATATTTTACGCAGATGATTGGTCGTGTCTTATAGATTGTCAAAGAAAAATACATTGTAATGTTTCTCCTACTGTGAGTACTGCAAATTACTGTTTTTATTCATTTATTTATTCCGACATTGACATTAGGTCTGTTGAATAATGCATTAATGCACTTAGAATATAATGAATTTTTTTCTTGATTATAAAATATAAGAAAAGAGATTCTGCTCAAATTCGAATAATCAATAACAAACTTTAAATTGAAAAAATTTCATGGGAGGACAATATTATCCAATCATGGCAACTATTCAATTGTCAAAAAAAAGAATCTAGCAATACATCGGAAAAGATCTAGTTCCGGTTATATGAAAAACTTTGTCTATTGATCAAATATTTATCAGAAAAAAAAACAGATTCCATTCTATTATAAATTATGAATTATAGTTACTTTTTTTTATATATTTAAAAGATTTTTTTAGTTGCTCATATTGACTCGCGAGAATTCGATTTACAAAATTGTTATTTTTATAGATTATTATCATGGTATGAATCTTTGAGACATGCTGAAATGAATATAGTTTTTTTTCACAAATTAATAAATGACATGGTGTGAACATTATTCATTATGTTTTGAATCGAATTCATTGTTGTCTTATTTCATATAACGACTATTCTTTCACGTCATTTATTCGAAGCAAAAAAATAAATAATTGAAAGATTTATAAGTGAGTGAAAGTTTCATAGATCAATATTAATAAATAAACATAAGAATACTTTTCTATATATTAAATTTGATAAATATTAAAAATGTGTTAAGAATATTAATCAATAGAACGATTCTTTTTATGAGCAATTTTACTGTACGACTCTCCCATGAGGATCAAACTGCGAAATTCATCAACACTAACTGTTATAAATTGATGATATATTGTGAGAGGTGTTAGAATAATTTATTAAAAACGAAAGTGATAAATTATCACTTCACAAGTATTTACATTTAGAATTATTATTGCAACAATTTATTAAAATTTTTTAATATCATTATACTTGTATTGTCAAATACATTTTCAAGGCAGCATAATTTCTTTTCTCCTAATGCTAATATATACGATACATTATAGGAAGCGACAAATAGCATTTTATTCTTCGTTTCGTTGATTCAATCGTTATGTTAGCCTACTATACACATTAATTTAATTGTTCAGCAAGCTTCCGAGTACACAATCTTTTCTCTCGATGAACTTTGACATCTACTGTTGAGTTTTGCTTAAACTTCGAAGTCAATCAGCTTATACTTATCTATGTCCATTCTATTCTGAGCCTGTTTAGATCATTACACTAGTCAGTATTTTAGTTCTACGAAAAGAGATAACGAATGCTGACAGAGTCTCGCTGAAAATTTCTAAAGCTGTTGCTAACGTTGATCTCGTAGTAGGTCTGAAGTGGAAGGCTGAGCTCACCTCTATTCCCTGATCGAAAATCATGGCACCGTCGCTAATAGCGAATAAATGTTTATACCTGAAATAGTATTACAGCATTACATCTAACGATTGTACTAACGAATACTTATTGAATTAATTATAATGACAGAGATGAGCGGACTTCATTTCGAATCTAACCTATCTGATCAAAAACTGAGATTCTCTATGTCGTTTTTTTTATCAAGATACATTAGTCTTTTGATTTGTGTGCCTTCCATAAAGTTTATGTGTTTTCATGAGAAAACATTGTAGAGCGCCGGAAGACATTTCATTTTGTAATGAATTGCTTGCTTTATCATTCTGCATAATTCAAACAGAGTTCTATTTGCAAATTCTAGGAGCTGAAAAACGTGACTTTTGACCTTTCAGAGGTCGTGTTCTTGGAAAATCAGCAATCATTTTCATCATCGAAAATTCTTGTGTCAAACAAAATTTTCTACACAAATCACTATTGATGTTCTTTTGAGAAGTTACAGTAGAGGAAAATAAACCTGTTTGAATAATTTTGGCAGTCATTAAATATGTCTTTTTGAAGTTAGTCTTATTTTATATAACGTTGGATTTTTTTTGGAGTTAATATACTTGGAAATGAATGAATTATCCAGCGAACATGATATATAAAATTTTGGGTTTAATATTTGAAAAAAGCTGCATTATGTTGTCATGTCATTAGAGTACATGCTTTCTTCGAATGATGACAACTAAAGCTTGTTGTCATTTGCATTTTCTTCTATTTTGACGAACAGAATTGCTTTATTGATCTTTCTCTAGCAAAATCTTTTCCGCTGTCAATTTTGTTCTCTTCATAAATTGGTAAATATTTTACACTGTGGGATTAATCTTCTGTTGTTTGATCATAGTGAATGAGACGAGGGATCAAAATGAAGATTTAGACAACCTATTATCTATTGAATAAAGAATAAAAAATAAAAAATAAAAAGAATGATAAGAATAATCCAGGAAATTCATCTCCCACTAGAAATGATTAAATGAATATAGAAGAATTCAAATTAATCGATTGCTAACTCATTTAATAATTAAATTACCATGATAGATTATACGATATTTTTTTTTTTACCATACTAAATAAATATCAAAGCAATAGGTCTGTCTAATAATATTTTATTTAATAAAACTTATTGAATTTTCTCATAAGATTGAACATGAAATCACTGATGAATGCTTCTCAAATGTTATGGTCACTGAACCAACTACATGTTCTTTTTAGTTTTTATTATTAACGAATCGTAGTATATAGTGTATTAAAAGAAATTTAAAAAAATGCTTGACTGTTCCATATGTCTAAATATAGAGATATTTTTCTTCCTTTTCTTCAAGTAAAATAGCTTGTAATTATTTATTACTCTGATCTATGGAAATATTTGTGATCAGAGAAAGTCATTTTTCTTTCTTTTTTCTATTATTGAGTGTCAACAACGTTGATAGGTCTTGTCAAGAAGCGATGAACGAACATACCCATGATCCATTTGTTCTTGCATTTTTTTTCCTTCTCTTTTTTCTTTTGCTCTATCGGTTTGTTCATTTGCATTTCCGAGAAAAAAAATAATAGTCTTCAATCATATCGTCATTCACATCTTTCTTTTTTTTTCTCTTTATTATGAGTATCGTATTTTATCTTTATTTTTAGATCGTACGCCATCAGAAGAAGATGACGTCGGTCAGAGTGGCCGTTCGTGTACGACCATTTAATATACGCGAAAGAAATCGTCAAGCTAAATGTATTATTCGAATGGATCAAAAAGAACAAACAACATTTATACGAAATCCTATTGATGATACTGTTAAACATTATAAATATGATTATTCATATTGGTCATGTGATGAAAATATAAATAATCAAAAATTTTCCACACAAGAACAAGTTTATCAAGATTTAGGCATTGAAATGTTAGAACATTCATTTGAAGGATATAATGTTTGTATATTTGCTTATGGACAAACAGGTGCTGGTAAATCTTATACAATGATGGGTAAAAATGAACCTGAACAACAAGGTGTTATTCCAAGATTATGTGGTGATTTATTTGATCGTATTAATTCATCATCACCATTATCATCATTACCTTCATCTTCTTATATAAAACCACGTTATACAGTTGAAGTATCATATATGGAAATCTATTGTGAACGTGTACGAGATTTACTTTCACCAAAAAAATCACAAACAACCGGTGTTGGTAGTTCACATAATTTACGTGTTCGTGAACATCCTATTATGGGACCATATGTTGAAGATTTATCTCGTTTACTTGTTACATCTTATGATGATATATCAAGATTAATTGATGAAGGTAATAAAGCTCGAACAGTAGCTGCAACAAATATGAATGAAACATCAAGTCGATCACATGCTGTATTTACAATATTATTTTCTCAATCAACATATGATTCAATAACAAATTTAACAACTGAAAAACAATCTAAAATTTCATTAGTAGATTTAGCTGGTAGTGAACGAGCTGATTCAAGTGGTGCAACAGGTGATAGATTAAAAGAAGGTGCAAATATTAATAAATCATTAACAACACTTGGAAAAGTTATTGCAGCACTTGCTGAAATGGTTTGTAATTTATTTGAAATAGTGACAAATGCAGGATCCATAAATCTATTTTAGAGTTCAAAACATCGTAAAACACGTTCAGAAAAAAAACCAGATTTTATACCATATCGAGATTCAGTATTAACATGGCTACTAAAAGAAAATCTTGGTAAGATTTTTCATTATATACTTAGGGCCTTCTCCCCCCCCCCCCTCTCCTCAAAAACCGATCTCAGCCCAGATA